TTGTTTTTTACACCTGTACAAACATTTAGACATTCAACAGCAATATTTTACTCTGAAAAAAAAAAGACACACCAAAGCTAAGGGGAAAAAAAATACTGTCAACGCTTTAACCATTGCAAAAGTATAACCATAACATGATCAGATGATAGAAAGCTGATTAATTACCGTCCTATTTCACTGCTAACTTGTCACAAGAGTGTCACTACATTCAATCTTGGAAAATAATTAATGACAAGCTAATTATCAAGTTACTAATGAGATCTTTAGAAATAAATGGGTGTATGTGAATGGAATCTCCAACCTTCTCATTTAAATTTTGTGAAACTATTCATTAGATGAGCCTGCATAATTACATCATTAACTTAAGAGGGATGTTTATTATGAGAAAATGGGTAACTCAGATATCACTGATTGTCACACGCTCTGATAAAACACACACACAAATATTAATGTGTGATATAGTCTTCTAACACAATACTAATTCTCAGTTATCGTATACATGTATATATCACGTGATATAACACTTTAACATACTAATTCTCAGTTATCATATACACTGTATATTATCACGAGATATAACACTTTAACATACTAATTCTCAGTTATCATATACACTGTATATTATCACGTGATATAACACTTTAACATACTAATTCTCAGTTATCATATACACTGTATATTATCACGAGATATAACACTTTAACATACTAATTCTCAGTTATCATATACACTGTATATTATCCGGTTATTATACATATACTTTAACATACTAGTTATCATATACACATTGATATAACACTTTAACATACTAATTCTCAGTTATCATATATATTATCACGTGATATAACACTTTAACATACTAATTCTCAGTTATCATATATATTATCACTTGATATAACACTTTAACATACTAATTCTCAGTTATCATATATATTATCACTTGATATAACACTTTAACATACTAATTCTCAGTTATCATATATATTATCATGTGATATAACACTTTAACATACTAATTCTCAGTTATCATATATATTATCATGTGATATAACATTTTAACATACTAATTCTCAGTTATATATATTATCATGCGATATAACCTTTTAAGAGAAACATACATCTCAGCAAGCCTATAACTGATAAAGTTGGAGTAACAAAATCAATTTACAATTTGCTTTTGCATGTCAGTCAAGAAGACGTCGAATTGTATGAAGACAATGATAGGTATGATATACTACTTGAAAACAGTTAAGAAAAACACACAACTGGAAGGCTAACTATTATAATTTGAAACATATGAGGTTTCCTGTAACTTATTTTGAGTAGGATGTATGGAACATAAGCTTGAAAACAACTCCCAATACAAATCTCAGTGGAAATCACTTAAAACCGGATAGAGAGTATCTTGTTTCTAGTGATCACTGGACACAGTGATCGAGCTAGTATCATCGACCTGGAACAAGGCTGATAACAACCCAGGCTTCAGAGCAGATCCTACTACAGTGCCATCTCTGTAATACAATCCTCCATTTCTAGCAGATCACAACCATGAGTCACCAAGTTTAAATGTCCAAAGTTGATGAATGAGGAAGGGGGCTAGTTCCCACAACATGCGTAAAATAGTATTTTTTCAAATAAACATACAAATTTGAATGTAAGGAGGTCTCAACTATATGAGAACACACAAAAAATTGCATCTCATAAACATAAACAGACCCGAGAAAATGTGTTTCTGTGTTTACTTGGTGTATTTTGCAGTTTTAAAACTTTGTACTGAACTCAAATTCTTTTCCCATGATATAATCAAAAGAATTGTACAAATGCTCGCAAAATGAAGCTTCAAAACACATAAAAAATACTTCATAACAGCATGTCCAACTCCACTGAAGTTATTTGTGTCTAAGACACGCTTTTCCCCCTTGTGTAAACATTGTGACATTAAACCCCATATCATTAAATCCAGAAATCAAACAAAACACCTGATAGTGCTTGTCCAACCACTGTTAGGATGACATCATGTCACCCAACTTTCAACCAATCAAAATGCATCATCTAAAATCTGCTCCCCTCTGATTGGTCAAGAGGAAAAAGTTTGCCATTGCAATAGGGAGCAGCAGGTGTAGGACTCCAGGATGCGACAGAACTCGAGGGCTTAAATATCCAGGGTGGGGTCACGACCCGAAATCTGGAGCTCTTGTGATAAAACTTGATCGGGTATTCAGGGTAGAAGAGAGGAAAGCTGGCGTACAAGCAAAACAACCTGTATTTCTACAAACAATTGCTGCATCCGGGCTTCCCCTCAAGGGGTGGCCAATATACATGCACATTGAGAGGGCTAATTTGTTATAGAGAGTGGGTTTTTTAGGTTGCCTGTTCATATGGGCATGAAGACATTTACTGTTGAAGGTGAAACCGCTATTTTAAAACTTCCTGGCTATCAAGATAACAAATGTACAACATGGCGACTATACACACAAACATTATTCTAAAGAGTAAGAAAGAAATATAGACAAGACAATCTTGAGATGAAATGTATTATGACATTAAAGTCAAACACAAACTTTAAATGATTATTATCACATTATCACACAGGAGACAAGACATCTTAACAATGCAAGGGTTGTTTGTATTTTGTCTATTACAAATAAAAAGAATAACATTAATAATAACAATAACTAATTATAAAGCACCTGGCTTAGAAATGTGAACCAGTAACCTTGACATCAACTGCTTGTTTCCCCACATGGGGACAGCGTGCAAAGCCCATTTCTGATGTGTCATGATCCGGGCTATCGCTTGTTGTAAGAGGTGACTAATGGGATCGGGTGGTCAGACATGTCATCGTATACCAATTGCGTAGATCGATGCTCATGATGTTGATCACTGGAATGTCTGGTCCAGACTAGATTATTTACAAACCGCTGCCATATCGCTGGAATATTGCTGAGTGCGGCATTAAACAACAACAATCAATCAATGCTAGGAGCAACATAAAACCATACTCACTTACAGATTCAATCATTCATTTGGTAATTGACTAGATATCATTCAAAATTAACTACATTAACAGCCACACATGAAGAATCTAAATTAGTTTATTTATCATGATTGAGGAAGTTCTCCTTGAATCAGCTGATGCAGTCACATCAACACAAACATTCCAGTAATACAAGTCCTGCATTATCAAACCCTCTCCATTTCCCACATTGCTGATAACACAAGTCAAAACGATACATCAAGTTTAATGCAGGCCGAAATACTTCCGTTCCTACACTCCGGTGTACCTGGGAATATGACTTGTACCTGAAAATGCCTTAACAAAAGGGCCAGGTGACATAGATAAACACACAGATCCCAGGACTTAAGGGGCTCTATGATAGGCTTAGATTGTGACAGGGGAAATGACAAGGCAGAGAGTCTCCTCACAGTTTTGATCCATAGCTTGTCCTCTTTTGCACATTTCATGGGAATCGTGTTTGTTACATACACCATGTGTTCAACAAGTTTATTTTTTATTGTTGTTCTCTTCCACATTCAGCAATATTCAAGCCATATGATGAGCGAGTGATAACAGTTTCTTGCAACATCAGCAATATTCAAGCCATATGATGAGTGAGTGATAACAGTTTCTTGCAACATCAGCAATATTCAAGCCATATGATGAGTGAGTGATAACAGTTTCTTGCAACATCAGCAATATTCAAGCCATATGATGAGTGAGTGATAATATGATGATGAGTGAGTGATAACAGTTTCTTGCAACATCAGCAATATTCAAGCCATATGATGAGTGAGTGATAACAGTTTCTTGCAACATCAGCAATATCAAGCCAGTTTCTTTGCAAGCATGATGAGTGAGTGATAACAGTTTCTTGCAACATCAGCAATATTCAAGCCATATGATGAGTGAGTGATAACAGTTTCTTGCAACATCAGCAATATTCAAGCCATATGATGAGTGAGTGATAACAGTTTCTTGCAACATCAGCAATATTCAAGCCATATGATGAGTGAGTGATAACAGTTTCTTCATGGCAAATCATATAACAGCTTCGCAAATATCAGTAACTTTGCAGCTCTTCATGGCAAATCATATGACAGGCTGAAGTCTGAATCAGACAATCCAGTGATTGATGTTATGAGCAGTTCTCCACATTCTCAAGGGTACATGACCATGCAGTAACCAAGTCAGTCACCTGATTATCTGATCCATCAATTCACCTCTTACAACCAAGGAACCTGTTAGAACCTGGAACCACCAAGGCAGTTGATCATGGTTTGAAGATTCTTTTCTGAGTTAATGCTGAGCACTGTCATGTTCTTGATACTTTACATACTTTCAGTAGACCAATACCTATCATCTGATTGGTTTAACGTCACACTCAGCAATATTTCAGCTATATGGCGGTCTGTAAATAATCGAGTCTGGACCAGACAATCCAGCGATCAGCATCATGAGCATTGATCTACACAATTGGGGTAAAATGACATGTGTCAGCCAAGTCAGCGAGTCTGACCTCCCGATCCTGGTAGTCGCCTCTTATGACAAGCATGGGTTGCTGAAGACCAATTCTGACCCGTAACTTTACAAGTTACTTTTAAAATGTATAGCTCCATTTACAATGAAAAGGAGTCCCAGTGAGCTCAGAGATTCAGAACCCCTGAGGAAATCTAAAAAATAAGGTTTCTAAAAGCACTGATGTTGAACATTTTGTACAAAACTGGTGGCAACTGCGAAGTAACACAAATATACAATGGCGTCAACAAAATCATCATTATAAAATGTATATCTTTTAAATGATGCCATTTTAGTCCATATGTGACCAACCCTGAATCAACCACTGTGACTGAACAGGATACAATCAGCCATTATTATGTCGCAGATGACCTCTGAAAACCAAATGTGACGGTGAAAGTTAGGTCCATGCAGTTTCTTTGAAACCTAACGGTCTTCCTTGCTATAAATCCTGAAACTGACTCATTTCCTCAAGGGATCTTACCTGCCAGGGTGTAGTCCATGTCAAACCCAAAGAACTTCACCTTCTCCAGCATCAAGCCTCTGTTCACAAAAACTCTGAAGAAGAAGAAATGGAGTGAATGAGCGAGCGGGTGGTGAGTGAGTGAGTGAGTGAGTGAGTGAGTGAGTGAGTGAGTGGATGGGTGAGTGGGTGGGTGGTTGAGTGAGCGAGTGACTGAGGTGTGTTGAGTAAGGAGTACTGTCCATGATGCCATTCACTGTGTGTCAGATCCAAACTTAATTATTTGTAAGGTGAGGTGAGGTGAAATTGGGTTTAACGTCGTTCTTGAGAATATCTCGCTCATATGACGACGTCATTATTTGTAAAATATTGTCAGATGAAATACTGCTGAGTATAGTTATATACATCCAACAAATGTTTTCGTGTCTTATTTCAAACCGAAACATTCAATTCTTAGTTATTTGGCTATAGATTGTAATTCATCTTAGAATTGGAGTTAGCAGACATTCAAAACAGTAATAAAAAGCATCTGTATGACTTTGATGAAACATTTCGACTGAAAAGAGTTCTAGTCTTTATTACAGAATAATGAGTTCTAGTCTTAGTTTTAGTCACGATATGGCTGAAATACTGCCGATGTGACTGTAAAGGGTCTTAGTTAGAGAGTAATGGGTCTTAGTTTTAGCAGGGATACTCTACAACAGGGATAGGTCACTCGCTTGCTTTCTTTACCATTTGTACTAATTAACGTGTGCCTCGTCATGATCCAACGCATACAGTGACTTGGTTCGGTCCCAGCGCGCAACTTCGGCTGCGTTTAACAGTACTTCAGCCAGTGTATTGTATAGGTCGGAATTTTACAATGAATGAATGAATGAATTAAGAGCAAGAATTTTATGTGAATGAATGAAAGAAATTAAGAAAAAGAACGAAAGAAAAAGAACATATGTGAATGAATGAAAGAATAAATGATACACCACGCCATCCCTCCCCAAACATATTAAAGAACGCAAAACTATAGGTAGAACACATGTTAACATCAGCTGTCCTTTTTATAAAAAATCTACTTTGAGACATTTGTTTACATTAGTAACTAATTCAGATATCTTATTGCATGTGTGGAATGACATGGGCATTGACAGAATGTTAACTGACACTGTCACAGACCCCTCAAGAACAGAAAGTTTAGAACTATCACAAAGCCTTGCAAACACCTTTCCAGTTTTGTCAAATACTTAGATCAACAAGAAAGAAAGAAGTTTTAGAACTATAACACTCAAGCATCACAAGCACCAATGGCGTATCAGAACAGATCGGCGATATGTCATATTTTTCACACACCTCAAATACACACTAACAATTTTTTTAAATTATAAAACTATCACTATTACTTGCAAACACCTTTCACCTGATGGTATATTCCCCTCATAAAAATTGAAGGTGTATGTGAAAGATGTTTTTGAACACTAACTAGAAACACTCAAACAACGCCCTGTAGTATTTCAATGGCAGATCGGCGATATGTCATATTTTTCACACACCCCTAAATACACCCTAACAAATTTTTTTTAGTTATAAAAATATCACTATTACTTGCAAACACCTTTTAACAAAAGGTATATTTCCCTTCTACAAATTAAACTAATATGTGAAAGAAGTTTTTAGCGATATAAGTTAGTCTTTCTTCGCTGTGTACTGAGAATTGAAGCCAGTGAGCTACAACATGCCCACTTGAAACTTTACTACAAAGCTACTGTACTTATACTGACACTAATAACAAGTATTTGACTTAAAATGAAGTGACAAAATAGGTAACTTATGTTCTACATGTAGGTTTTCAGTTGTCACAACACTCAGCGTATGTAATCGGCTGTTGAAAATAAACCGGGCTCAATCTTAAAAACTACGCTGCCGCCATATTGGCTGCACTGGTCACGTGACGAGCCAAGGCATAGCTTAGGAGCTTTCCGAGGAGTGACCACTCCCCCTTATAGAGTCTCCCTGGTTTTAGTTACAGAGTAATGGGTCTTAGTCTTAGTTACAGAGGAATGGGTCTTAGTCTTAGTTACAGAATAATGGGTCTTAGTTTTAGTTACAGAGTAATGGGTCTTAGTTTTAGTTACAGAGTAATGGGTCTTAGTTTTAGTTACAGAATAATGGGTCTTAGTTTTAGTTACAGAGTAATGGGTCTTAGTTTTAGTTACAGAGTAATGGGTCTTAGTCTTAGTTACAGAGTAATGGGTCTTAGTTTTAGTTACAGAGTAATGGGTCTTAGTCTTAGTTACAGAGTAATGGGTCTTAGTCTTAGTTACAGAGTAATGAGTTACAGAGTAATGGGTCTTAGTCTTAGTTACAGAGTAATGGGTCTTAGTCTTAGTTACAGAGTAATGGGTTCTAGTCTTAGTTACAAAGTAATGGGTCTTGGTCTTAGTTACAGAGTAATGGGTCTTAGTCTTAGTTACAGAGTAATGGGTCTTAGTCTTAGTTACAGAGTAATGGGTCTTAGTCTTAGTTACAGAGTAATGGGTCTTAGTCTTAGTTACAGAATAATGGGTCTTAGTCTTAGTTACAGAGTAATGGGTCTTAGTCTTAGTTACAGAATAATGGGTCTTAGTCTTAGTTACAGAGTAATGGGTCTTAGTCTTAGTTACAGAGTAATGGGTCTTAGTCTTAGTTACAGAGTAATGGGGTCTATTCTTAGTTACAGAGTAATGGGTCTTAGTCTTAGTTACAGAGTAATGGGTCTTAGTCTTAGTTACAAAGTAATGGGTCTTAGTCTTAGTTACAGAGTAATGGGTCTTATTCTTAGTTACAGAGTAATGGGTCTTAGTCTTAGTTACAGAGCAATGGGTCTTAGTCTAAGTTACAGAGTAATGTAGAAAGAAAGCCCAGTCAAGCTCACAGCCCCTGAACAATAATATCTTCACTTCCACCTACCATCACATTCCAAATGAAGCAAGTCTATGTTTTCCACAAGTTCTCCCACCACATTTATCAGAATAGATGTTGCTAGCTTCTCTCAGAACTAAACATTTCCAGAGACTAAACGTTAGGCTAGTCCTAAGCATGTTATGGATGGTTAACACTTTCATGGAATGGGCTAGCATGTGAATGGTGCTGACACAACAAGGATCAACCACAGGCACAACTTAGATTGGAACCCAGTTAACAGCAGGTTTGTTTGTTTGAAATTTTTTACTCGGTATAAAATTACCAATAAACAGGATCTCAAAGTAAAAACATCCTGATTGTACAAAGAAAACTGAATTACCATATGACAATTTCATATGAATATGAGCGAATACTTCATCAATTATAACCAGTTGTGTGGAGCACTGTACTGTTGCAGACCATTAGAAAATTCACAAAATAACAACCAGAATATAACTGACCTCCTGTTGGGCTCTCTCTTGTACATCCTGAATGGGGTGCTCACGGACCTCTCTAGGGACTTCTTTGACGTCTGTTGATCTTCAGCCATCTTGGATTGTTAAACTGGAGAAACAAAAGATATTTTAGTTTTTCAATGAACTTAAAAACATTTCCTTCCCAAACCATTAACACAAGTAAATGAATGTACACATGTTCAAACTTGACTTACAAAATGAACCTAATCACTGACAAACACCTCTGCTCACTGGAGACACTAGACAATATACCTACTGAAACTCATCCTGATTCCACACATGTATCAGTGATAGACTTGGAATGACACAAGATATCAAGGCTATGAATGATATATACAGTATATGAATATACGTGAAATAACTATTTAGTAAAGGAGAAAATGAAATCCATCTGAGTTGATGAATTTATCTCTACTTAACTGTGCCGTCTGTCCCTGACAGATGATGAAAATGGTATGTACACAATTATTGGATGACATTCTGCACCGTGATGAAATAGCTCGCTGAGTCAGGCTGCAAACATCCATACACCTAATACATGAACTGTTAATAAATATTTATATGACCTTTCTCAATCACTCCAAGTTACTTTGTATTATGGGATACAGGTCTTTAAAAATCCAGTCAAGTTGGTCAAGAGGTCGGCAAGAACAATGAATGATCATTATAACTATGATGAATAACCATCCACAACGTATACTGATTACCATGGTAACAGAACAACTGACCATTCACACAACATACTCTGAGACCATGGTAACCATACAACTGACTGTCTACACAACATGCACTGATTACCATGGTAACACTACTAACAGTACAACCAACTATCCGTGGAGCGTACACTGACTATAATCACAACAATTAATCAATTACATGATTACTTTGTGTGTCTGACTTTGTGACTGATCCACTAACAAGCACATTATGTCCACACATTGTAAATGTCAGATTGACAATATGTCACTAGACAACACTATTACCATTGGGGGCCTTCTGAATTGCTTCCATTAACACATCCAGTACCAAAATGTCACCTTGTGAATATGTATCATTGAACTAGTGTTGGGAATTGGTTAAAATCTCATAATTGATGATTGGTTCATTACAACCGATCAATCATCGAAAATAATTGGTTAGCGTCATTTATGAAATTTGTTAATGCACACAAAAATAAGGAAAAGAACATGTAGTTTGGGGCTTTTGGGCAAACTTTCACATCTTTAAAGGATGACTAGTATGTTAGGAACATAAATTCCTTGGAGTCTTTAAGATAAATTCAATCATGACTTGAAACGAGCTTGTAGTGCTTACAAAATGTAACAGCCAAAACCAACCATGTGAAAAATATTGTTAATGAAAACAAGTGTTCCAAAATTGGTTGTGTTCGATTATGAGAAATTATGATCGATTGCTTGGTCGTTTAGTCACTACAACCAATCTTCGATTATTTCAATTAATCGGACCACCACTACATTGAACAATGGCTGTTTGCATCATGAGGATCTGGAGAATAAGTTCAGTATCATGTCCATGGTTAATGCGGTCAATATACAGCAAATTAAATCACATTCACACATCTTTCAACAGTTCCAGAACAGACAGGGCTTCAAGTAAAGCCCCTACAAAAAAGAATATATTTTCAAAAGACAAACAGCTCATAAAAATGTATTTAAACAATTCTGAATACTATTATTTTTATTTCCCAAAATTTAATGAAACACATCTATAACCCAGAAATCTACATTTTGGAATCTTGCTGTGAGATGGTGATTGAGTGAGTGAGGTAAAATCTTAAAGCAACATTTCAGTCACTACAGATTCCTAAAATGGCATATTTTTTTAAACAAATGCAAAAATGTCATGCACAGTCATCCTGCTTCGAATGTTGGAAAGTCTTGGTGCACTTATATCATGTTTATGTCCAGAAGATAATTATTTTCTGTTTAAATACTGTCCCCATGGTGTTGTGGAACTGGTGATAATCTCACGAGAAAGAGCTAGAGACATTTAGGAAGACCAATAATGAAGCTGTGGCTCCACGTTTCAAGGGTGGTTTGTTGTCTGTATGTTATAACGTACACAGCACTGTCTAGACATACAGTTACACTCAATCAGGAATTGTATGCAGTCCTGTCATTCACTGCAATAACAAAATGGCTACAACTGTTTTAAATCATAAAATTTGAACGGCCATCCTGTAGATTACCTGGGTATGTAATGAACAAAGAAAGCAAAAACAGTTGAAATTGAAATGGTTTCTGAATAAATACTTGTAACTAACAACTAATACTAAAATCCAATCCAAAAAGTTTTCAAAAATAGAAAAAGACATGCCAGAGTCTGACATTTTTAGGTGAAAGATCCTAAATATGCCTTTTTTAAGACATTAAGAACAGTCCAAAACAGAACAAACGGCAGTCTAATGGCCACAAGACATCTTTTCACTATGGCATCAACATTGAAAGTCAGACACAGATGTCTTAAACAAATTAAGTTGTTGGTGGAAAGAGTAAGTGTGTGAGTTTAGTTTTATGCCGCTTTTAGCAATATTCCAGCAATATCATGACAGGGGACACTAGAAATGGGCTTAATACATTTTGCCCATGTGGGGAATCGAACTCAGGTCTTCGGCATGACGAGCGAACGCCTTAACCACTAGGCTACCCCACCACCTAGTTGGTGGTAAGAAGAATATACATAAATGGTACAGCGTTACCTGAGAGGAAGAAGCTTGCAAGTAACAGTGTATGATGACAACAGACCTAATGTAAGTCGTGTGGTCTAAAACAGAACTGAGCCCTCATTGATTGGTCACAACTAAATATAACTTAATAATTTTTACAACTGTCATTTAACAAGTATACTGCATGGTGTTATACGCTTCACCTTCTGTAAACGGTGAGTACATTGTGTATAAGACATGTTATATTGGGACTACACTCCCTCAGTGAAGTACAGATTTGCTGTACTTCTGTTGGGTTGAGTCCCATCTGAGATTCAAACCCAGATCCCCAGAGTGGCACCCAATCGCCAGCGCACAAAGTCAGCAATTACTGAAAAAGTGTAATCCCAAATGTTCCATATGTTACATTCGACCACTTTCTAAATGGCATTATGTATTCATACATTGTGTTTAAAGCCACACTGAGGAGTATTTCAGATGTTATAGCATGTCCGCTTTGCTTCGAAGAGGAAAGTCGAAGTAATCCAGAACTTAAATGTCTACATCTTCACAGATATACAGCTGACAAAACAATGATTATAATCAGGGGCATTCATGATCACCGGATCCTGGTAACTGCATAAGGGACACAACTCTACCTAACTAATTGTGACACCTTGAACAACTGGGCCACCCATGCCAGCTTCTTGAAACAAACCTTGATATATTTGGGTTATTTATCATTACCACTGTAATCTCCATCATTGCAAGTTATCACTGACAACTACATTACTGGCAGCTGGTTAAAAATAGAAAAAGGTTTTCACAACAAAACATGATTCACCTTTAACTGCTTTATTTCCTCAACAAAAGTTATTGCTTATGAACCCTTTGGTGGCAGGCGATAAAAGGCTTTTAAAACAGACTTTGATTTACCTGTGACTATGCAGGTATCTAGTGTAGTCAAGGTACTGCACTGATATCACCTCTGATGTATTCGGAGAGGGAGTAAACGACGCTATACACTGCTTTTTTGAAAATACCATGTACCATATTCACCATAATAAACAACCTAGGTGTATTGTAATTGACACCAAGGGCACTTATGTAAAACAATACACAAAGTGTTCCATTGGTTTTCACAGATCGACAGGAAGTTAAAAAAGTCAGTGCAAATCAAAAGTAATTTGACAATCATACATCCTTAACGCTGATTGTTCGGTAATACATGTGTAGTTAACACAGGAAAAATGTGTCATACAAAGTTTCATCTCATAGTTGGCATTTCAGAAGAGTACTTACAGATCAGTCTAAAACTTGGTTGGTTTAGCTTGTATGAGCTGGGCCTTGTTACAGTGAATATAGTATATCATGACAAGCTGTAGAAAAACTAGTGGGTGACAGCATGAACATTATTCCATTTTAGTCTTGACACAAAGACAAGAACAGGATCCTTGGGACTATTTCAACACACATCCTGAAAACAAGCTTGGATATTTGCTTATGAAAAATAATTTTAAGGGTCAGATAGCAGTAAATAACTGACTGTAAATAATGGAATCTGGACTGCATCATCAGTGAGTAAGTGAGTGAGTTTAGTTTACGCTGCTTTTAGCAATAGTCCAGCAATATCACGGCGGGGCACACCAGAAAAGGGCTTCAAACATTGTACACATGTGGGGAATCAAACTCGGGTCTTTGGCGTGACGAGCGAACACTTTAACCATTAGTATACTCCACTGCCCCCTGCATCGTCAGACTCTCTGGCTTTGTTGATGGCAATATCAATCACTAGATTTGTCTAGATTCAAGTACTACCCACCATCTCGACTACCATTCCCTGTTGTAGAGGTTTATTATACACATTTATGAAGTTCTTCAGCAGGAATTTTCATTTTGTGTCGGTTTGTGCTGACAAGTGATTCTTGAGAGGGATCACAGCTGGGTTCATCATAAAGCTAATATAGTCTGTCTCACAGTCCCTGAACTGCATTGTTTGCCCTTCCATCCAGCCCTTTCTACAATGCTAAAGCCCTAAATGAAGCAAGTCTAGATTTACTCAGGTTCATCTCCCATCTCAGTGGGGCTCCTTTTCAATTTAAAAGAAATTGTTTGTTTCTATCAAAGTTATATGCATTCAGAAACTAAGCTTTAATCTTGGCCTAATAGAACAATGTTGTTTTGATAGCACTTAATTTTTAAATAGAGTACAGTAAGCCATTTACTGCTTCCTGTTTCCTCAAAAGCCCAGGGCCTGTGGGGATACGTTACATTTAGAAGGGTTTGTTAAATTATGAAGTGTTTGGATTATTTCTTCATCTGTGCTCTTTGTGTTGTCCTGAACAGTGAACAAGTGTGAGGATCGGTACTGTACATTATACTGTTGTTTTTTAGCTTAACTCCACATTCCGGAAAATATTCCAACCATATCACAGCCGCCTGTAAATAATCGAGTCTGGACCACTGCAGGATCACAATCCCACATGCATCATAAGAAGATGATATTTTGTACTTCGAAAAGGTGGCGTATTGTAGTGAGTCAGCTCACAAGCATGCCCATGACAAGCATCTGATGACATTGCTGTACGTGAGGCCTCATTGTGTGACCATTAATATACAACGATGATTCACATACAAAGTTACAACCACATAATGCAGTGATTGATAACGCCGGGGTATGATACCATACACTTACTATGTCAAATAGTCTGTCTACCTGATCGACATACCTATTGTCACCAGCATAGGCTGCTAGGGATCTATTTGCATTTGGTTTAAACATATTTTTATTCCGTCAATGCAGAAACCTGGATAGGAGAACAAGCCGAGTGGCTTATATAAACGCCGCTCCAGTACACGGTTCCAATATAGCTGGATACATAATTGAAAAGAATAATACTGAGACAAAATTACACTCAGAAAAATTATTGAATAATAAATATTTGGTTATGGCGTTGGTTGTGCCTAGCAACGAAATGAGCTGCCGCAGAAAATCAAGTTATATAAATCTTGTCTTGCATTGAATATACATGTATATGTAGTGGTGATAATCACTGGAAGCGCTTACTTTTAGAAATGAACTGGTGTAATGAGTTGAGAATGTCACAATTGGTTGAGTTATCCAATACCCTATAAGGTATTTTTCACATCGTATCCTTGAATATAAAAAATTGCATTTGGTACACAAGGTCCATGTGTGCAATAAGTAAACTGAAGTGAGTGAGTGAGTGTGATTGGGTTGATGCTGCTTGCACCAGTATTTCAGTTACATCAAAGCTTTATCAGATCAGAACAACGTGCCCACTTCAATGAGGCTGTTTGAGAAGGGAATGAGTGAGTTTTTACTTTTCCGTCGCTTTTAGCCATATTCTAGCAATATCACGACAGGGGACACCAGAAATGGGCTTCACACATTGTTCCCATGTGGGGAATGGAACCCAGGTCTTCGGCGTGACAAGCAAACACTTTAACCACTAAGCTACCCCACTGCCCCTGTTTGAGAAGGTATAACTGGGGTTAATATCTTTAATAACATTTTTATCTTTACTCAGGATGATATAGCTTTTGACTGTAGTTCTCCCCCTGATGATGCTGATATAAACTCACTTAGGATCATGATCCTGTCTCTCTTAAGGGAAACAACTCTACATAAATGAGCAAATAGTCTCATTCTGCCTTGAGTATATAATATCATGTTTGATATCAATAACTCATTTCCATGTGGAGGAATCGTAGATTCAGGGGAGCTAAAAGATGTTGTCTTGTGCAAACTATAATGTTTGGTATTGATTGTCTTCATCCAGGACTTGTTTCAGTGACAGCAAGTTGATGAATTGGTGATAATTCTCGTTTGACAGAGCTATGTAATAACTTGTTTCCACATCTGTTCACCATGCTGGCGTGTATGCATGAGAATCACAGACAATACACGAAACCCTATAGTTTGATATGCAATGTGCAGTTACACTAGGGACAGGTCAGGTGAACATTACTGCACACTCCTCGATGGCACATGCTGGTGCATGGAATGATGTAGACTAATGCTTAGTCTCTGAATATATATAGTTTTGATAGTAACAAACAAGCCCATTAAAATTGAAAAGGACCAGAGATTCTGAACCTGAGGAAATCTAGACTTGCTTTATTTAGGGCTTTAGCACTGCAGAGAGAGCTTGGCGGTGGGGAAAATAATGTGGTTCAGGACTGTGAGACAGACTAGGAATGATGAGGCGAGAGCTTGACGACTGTTTATTGAGATTGGAAACAACTTATTAAATGAACAATGTCGCATCGTTGCAGTACATAGTGGAATCAGACTCGGTATCGGTAATTCATTATGTGCCGAGACCCTATCCCCATAGATACAATGATTTCACAGTTCAACAGGTAAACTGTCCTGTTCATCGTCCTGTTCAATCGCTTATTGATTGTAACATTGAACTAAGGTTGCATTGTGACTTGCTGTAGTGTGTGAAAGGAAGTTATATGCGTGTTTCAAAGTGGTTGAGGGTTGGACATCGAAATAATGTTTCATTAGTGTAAACGACGTTCTACTACTATTATTCTAACTTACATTCGAAGTTGTACGTGAAGCACTTCCTGCTGCTAACATCGACAAAAAACGTAAGTCTTCGGAGCTATAGGTAAGCTCCTTCGGTAAAGTACGGCACGTCGTTCCGACCCGAATTAACGCGATCGTTGTTTACATCCGGTAAGGGAACCACGTGGAGTGGGTGTGTCAGCAAACCTCAAATAACACCGCATGTTGAAAGTGTCAGTTTTAGCTATGCAAACCTGATATTCTTTTAAATGATAATTGTCCCTCATAATTAGATGTGACACTCTACGATTAAATCAATCCCTTTAATTATATATATATAACGAATGGGCACCTTTCGACATGCGAACCCGGAAGTATTAATTGCAAGATAACCTAGCAGACGATTTTGCTCTGTCCGTAAACACTATTACAACGTCACTTTGATAACAACTTGATATTGATTTCACTTTAAAGAAGCAAGTTTTATAAACAATAATTGTAACAACCGTGTGTCGTGAAGTGTACGGGAATAAACCAGACTCGCTATCAAAATTAAATATGTACGGGCTATATATAAAACCTACATTCGTGTTCAGACACGTCGCGGAATCCAACAAAGAGACGAGAATATTTTACATTACTGGCCACAATAGCGGATACTGACATTAACCTAACGGGTATTATCTCATTTCACATCTGACCGATGCTGATCCCACAGTTTCAGCAGCGATGGAGGGGGGCACAATGAGGAGACGGACGATGTGTGTGACCTGGCGCTCTTCAATTACCAGGAGAGAGGGGCGACAGTCACACTTACGTCACCCAACGGTGGCATCATTACCGCCATAAACCCTTCCCTCTGTTGAAACTGACCTTGTCAAAGTTGGTAGAGTATGTTACTGTCGACAGCCTTACAAAGTTCATTGGGCTTATGTATATGTATATATATATTATAAGTAACAATGTATCCTTTTCAACAACTTAGAATTATTGGCTTTCATTTCAGAGCTAGATATGCTTACCAGCTGCATATATGTATATATACATATATCGACAGCCTTACAAAGTTCATTGTGCTTATGTGTGTGTATATAAATATATTCAGAGCTAGATATTCTTACCAGCTGCATATATATATTTTATAAGTAACAATGTATCCTTTTCAACAACTTAGAATTTTTGGCTTTCATTTCAGAGCTAGATATGCTTACCAGCTGCATATTTTATTGATTTTTCATGTACATATGTTATGAATTTTATACTCATGTTGTGAAAATTAAAACAGTAATGGTTTTAATTTACTTGTCAGTGTGGTAATGTGAATTCTATCATTTGCTCTTTGAGCAAATGTATTTTAACAAGTCACCATTATTTCATCATGCATTTTGTTTTAATTTGACCAATTTTTTCAAATTGTTGTTTGGCTCATGGTTCCATTTATTCAGCTCTGATGTACTGTATGAATCTGAAGTGAAATGTGTGAAGCGTGAACTCATTGTCCATGTACTGAATGACATACTGGGGATTAAGATAACCGATTCCACTCAATATATGATGGAAACAGGTCTGCCTCTGTTACAGTGGGACATGTTCACAGGGTGAGAAACTAGCAGATGTTTGAAAGCTCAAATATGGTGTTATAACTTTATTAAAATGTGGAGTTTAATATTGAAACTTTTAATCAATCTTTGATAACAATGCATCAGTGTTGTGTTTCAGAAGAAAGTTCAAGATGAAGAGAAGACACTGGACCTTTGTTGCAAAGTTTCAAGGCCAAGACGGACAGCATATTGTGAAGGCAAGAAAAAATTTAGCTTGAAGTATTTACAAAAATAAATAAAAGAGAAATGTTAGTTTAATAATGGCAACAAGACATAAATTAGCTTATGAAACAGATGGTCTGCTTTCTAGAGTTCATCATCTCATTTGTTTTGTGTGGTGAATCTATAATGATCTACATTTTCCTCTTGGTTTAAAGAAGGCTCCCCAGAAAGATCATAAAAAACACAAACAGTGGCAACTCTAAATGGTTTTGTCATATCAACAGGGAATGTTTACTTTCATATTCTTAGTTTATTTCTCAACATTTCTGCCAGGTCCACATGTGTAACTAAGAATCAATGACCTTGTTATGGTTTGACCTGTTGTCCTAATCATCATCACCAATCCCAAATCTCTGACATTGTCATCATTTCCCAATGGTAGGGATTGATTCTCAATCAGCAGTATGCTGGTCCTCAGGTGATTATCTAAAGGTCACTGTGATAATACTGGTGAGGCATGAGGTATAACTGGCTTGCTGTTTCACCCATAGGCTTCATATAGATATAAAGTCTTATTAATTTTACAATACCCCTTTGATAGTGTCAAGTGTATACATACATATCCCAAGGGTTATTAAATGTTTTACTGTGTGAGAAAGTGACAGTCCAAACGCATTAGCTAATATTAATGCAAATATATCAAGGACTGAATGAAAACTTGGGAGACAAGTGGGTATGGCGTTTCCCCATGATGATTAAAGCCTGGGTTTGATTCCTAGGTATCAGAGGTGAAACTTCTTTTTGGTGTCCTCCAATGTGACATTACTTGAATAGGTCATGTGCATGCTTGCCTGGTTACCCATTTACCAGCCTACTCACTAACTCACATTGTATGTGTTTTTATTAAAGGCTTTTTCAAACATTGTATAATACCGACTAAGTAGATGAACACTTAGTCTCTGAATATATATAGTTTGGATAGAAACAACCAAATTTCTTATGAATTGAAAAAGAGGTCAAGTGAGTGAAATCTAGACTTGACTCATTTAGGGCTTCAGCATTGTAGATATGGTGTGTAATGGAAAATAATACTCACTCACTCACCCACTCACCCACTCACCCACTCACTCACTCACTCAGTTCCTTTGTTGTATTTCCCTAAAGCAAACCACAAATACAAGTTCCCTTAATACATCCACCTACACACAGATTTGGAAGTCATGAAAACTGTAATCTGATAGTATTAATTTTATCAGATAGGAGAATAGGCCATGGGACATTACAAACAGGAAATTAGCCTTGGTTTGTTTACCACTGTGACCACTCAACACAATATAGGGCCAAATAGCTGGGAAGCCCACCAGCTCCCTACTTACAGGGCACTGCCTACCTCGGATCATGTCAGGGGTCACCGGTAGTAAAACAGAGTCCCAACAGTCCTTTGTTGGGGCCTTGAGACTGGTCAACATTGTCTGAAAGGCTTATCAACATACCGGGGTGGCGTTATTATTTCTGTTTTTCGGGTAGCGGAATAGCTCCTTTGATGGTGCTAACACTTGTGCCCTACTCATTTCAGAGTTTGATTCCTTACAATGGGTGTATGTGTATCAGGACAATTGTTCATGTTTCCCTGCGTCAAAAAAATATCATTGTATATATGGTGTAGTATTTCTTTGTCTTTGATGTGGCCGAGATGACTAGGGTATTAATGTGTTGCTGTCGCTGGTTGGATTTATCCGACAGGTGGTTTGGCTGAAACCTGTCCCTACTCTGGGGTGGGCGTGGGTAGAGAGGATGTTTGAAGGAGGTGCACTGACACCCTGTGTTCAGACTCTGTATGTGTCTAATAACATGTGTTGTATGTGTCTAATAATGTGTCAGTCTCTCTATCACGATATTCACTGTGAGATTTGCCCAGTTTCTTGATGATACCAAGTCATCATTAGATGAGTAAACCCACCTTATCATTATATAATGTACACTTCTATAACATAGGTAATACAGACTTATCAAGGTCAACTTTGGGCCAATATCTGTTTAATTTTTTCGTATTATTCTTTTTGGCCATGTAATGTTCCAAACTTTGCAGTCTGTCTTAAATATGGGATTTGTTCGTAATAAGTAAAATATTTTATCTAATTATCATTGTGTAGGTGTAAAGAACAGGTGCTCAGTAATTTATATTTTTTTCGTTTTGTCACATTAAGTGTTAAGTAAATGGAAATTAATGTAAATGGATTGTTGAAATTAACATTCATGTTTAAAAGGTAAGGTTATGTATTTTCCAAAATTTGTATGCCTGTATTGTATTAAAATTCAAGAAAAACAGTTGTCCATTCAGTTTGTGGGACCCACTTCTGAACAGAAGGATCACACGAACTTTCCTGTCCTCTCAAAATTGAAAAAGCATCCCCTGCTGGTCATGTGATCATAAATTTAGAGGAAGTAGTTAACTTCACCCTGGGAAGACATTTATTGGCTGACCTCCGACCTGTGGGGGTCACCGTGAATGCTGATAGACTCCGGCAAAGGTGTACCATGGTTGAACTGAATGTTTGCAAGGTACAATAGGAACAAATTGGACATTTTTCAGTATCCAAAACAACATATGGCATAAATGGGTTGAATTTTGTATGGCTATAGATTCCTTGAAAGGAGAATTTAAAGAGTGAGTTTGTTCGGCTGCTTCTCCTGCAATATCACATTGGGGACACCAGAAATATCCTTCATGCATTGTAATGATGTTAGGAATTGAACTCAGGTCCTGAGTGTGATGAGAAAACACTTTAACCACTAGGCTACCTAACAACCTGAGAATTAAAAGCAAATTATCTTAGAAATTTGATGTCTGAAATTAAGCTTCTTTGTTAAGTTTAGGACCTTTTTGACCAATCACAGAGCTAGTGGATGTTTATACAGAACTTAGTAGCACATAATACCTATATCAGGCTTAGAAAATGTGGGAACTCTATCTCTTTTGAACTGTTTGTCATAAAATATGTATGACGTAGAGGTAAGGATTTACATCTTGTATCTTAAACCAGCTATAAACTGTTGTCATAGAAGGGTAGTTTTACATGAGAGAACAAAACATATTTTCTCAAGCCTGCAAGTATGGAGAAATGTGATCTGCAAGACAAATGGCCATTGCATCCAGCTGCACACCGACACTGACACCGGGCTGGTTGGTGTGTGTCTTAGTAGATGAGTAGTGTCACTTGATCCTGTAACTGTGTAAAACACAGGGGCTGTATACTGATTTACTGCAATACACTGAGATTGTCTGCAGTGCACTACGGCAAGATTGTTCTCACCTGCAATATGACATTACTTGGTTGCAGTTTACTGCAGTATGCTCTTTTAGGTTGTGAGGCATACATGATGTGTGTAA